CTTGGCTGGTTCTGTGAGATCCCAACACTGTCGACAGGAGGGGTAGTGGGTCCCTGGCCTCCAGTGGTGGCCTCGGACTGGGGAGCAGGGAGGAGCCCCAGGCTCACCACCCAGGTTCATCGTCCTTTCCCTTCTATACGGAGAGTGCTCCCCGAGGACCTGGCCCAGCTGGCCCTGCCCAGGGCCTGTGGGAAGTGGTTCTCTGTGTCGAGCCATTTTCCAGAAAATGAGGGTCAGGGGTTTCTTACCTGTGGCTGCTGACCTGGAGCCCGAGACTCAGATGCCAGGGGCCCGAGCTTCTGTTCAAGCTTTGCTTCCCGCTTAGTTTGAGGTGAACAGTGTTACTCATCAGTGAGCGCCTTGGCAGGGGGTGGGGGTGCCTCTGAGTGTGCTTGGCTGGTGGGCAGCTGACCCCTCTGCTGGGAGGTGGGTGTTTGAGTGCCGGGCATCTTAAAGAGAGGGGCACGTAAAATGAGGGAGCGCAGGCTTCGCACTGTCATTGGCTTCTAAGAGGTTGTGGAGGGGGAGGCTCTCTGCATGTGCCCCCGAGGTGCTGGCAGCCCTGCCGGCTCAGCCTTTGGAATTTGGGGTGCATGAGCCCGTGGTGCCTGGGACCGTGGTCCCCTCTTACGGGAGGCACAGCCCAGTGCACTGAAGGCGTGGAGTCTCTGTGTGTCCCCCAAGCTGGCTGTGATGCAAATGACCATTCTGTGTTAAGCTCATCCCAGTGGACAGTCACCACTGTTCCTGCTGCTTGTCTCTGCCGAGTCCAGCAAGGAGTGGGTGAGCACCCCTGCGGCAGCCCCAGCCCAGAGAACGCACTCCCCACTGCCTCCTCTGCCTGCGGCCCTGACGTGTTGCTGGTAAGGTTGGTGGGGATCGCAGGTGGTCCTGCCATTGCTGGCTCCTGGCAGCCCCAGCACTGACTACAAAACCCTTCCACCAGGAGAACCCGGGGCCCTGGAGGAGCGAGCCCTCTGTGAAGCCAGGCAGTGGCACAGTGAGTGTCGGCATGTTATGGAAAATCACTTCAGCCACTGCATCTCTGGGGGGCTGCCCCTAAAGCCCACAACACAGGCCATCTGTGCCCTGTGGGCACCACAGGGACTTTGCCTGACTTGGGAACACCATGTTCCAGCCTGCGCTTTTGGGGTTACGGAAGTTGACTCTGGTGTCAGGGAATACCCAGTGCAGGGGCCATGTGTGCTCGGAGCCCTGGCAAGTCCCCCAGGTGTGCCTCAGGGACTCACAGCTGCCCCTCTTCCACCCTGCCCCAGCAGCTGTCCCAGGCCCCTGAAAGGAACTGGACTCTGGGCCCTGCTCAGCCACAGCCCTCCCTGGTGTCTCACCAAAGCTGCATCCCCACAGGCTGGGCATGGGCTCAGAGCCATGTTTCCGCCCAGGGACACAACACCATGCCAGTGCGGCCCTTCTCTTCTCCTGCTCACGGGAAGCAGATTGACTGGTGCACACACGGGGCCCATCCAATGCCAGTGGTTGCAGCACAGGACGTCCTCAAGGGCGGCTCACCATTCCTGAGGTCTGGCCAGGGTCCTGGGTTCCACGTCCTGGAGGGAGGCCCGCTGTCCCTGAGGTCTGGCCGGGGTCCTGGGTTCCACGTCCTGGAGGGAGGCCCTGGGTGCTGCCCCGCATTGGTGGTGGTAGTGACCTGGGTTGGAGTCTGCCTAAATGTGGGTTGGATGCAGATTCCAGCATTTTCCAGCTGTGTGTCCTCGGTCACACTAACCCTCTCAGTAACTCAGTTTCCGTCTTTCCTGTCAAATGGGGCAATAACAGGTGAGTCACAGGCCGCATGGGGAGATATGTTCTGCCTGTGAAGCCCTTAAGGGCCCCTGCAAGTCCCTGAGGCCATGAACCACCAAGATCAGGCCTGGGTGTGCTCAGTGGCCAGGGTTGAAGTTGTGGTGGTGTGGTCATGCCTGGCTTTTGACGGGGTCAGGTCTGTAACTGGGAAGCCTGTGGAGGAGGTGACCCACCTGGCTGAGCTATGCCTCATGACCTTGATGTCTTGGTCTCCTGAGACCGTGACCTCCCTCCCACAGAAGGTGGTGGTGATGAGGAGACCAAAAACCGGTCTGAGCTGACCCACACCCATCCTTCCATTTGCTGCTGCCCCGTTGCCATGCCACAGATGCACACCCAAGCTGTGACCCCGGCCCCACCCTCTCACTACTTTCCCACCATGGCCCAGTTCCTGCAGTCGCTGCCTGGCCCTGTATCGCAGCTAAGCCCAGTAATTGAATTGCAGTTGATGGTATGTGTCAGTTTAAGATCGTGCTAAGTGCTTCGTTTCCTAGAACACTCCCAAAGAGAAGATGAATTCTCTTGTAACATTTTGCAGTGGGGTGAAATGACCCTCATGGAAATCAGTCCCAGCTCTGGAATGAGCTGCTGACTGGACGGGCGTGCCAGGGCAGGGGTCACAGCAGGCTTGAAGGAGCTTCTCCTGGACTGAGCTGGAACCCAGCCATGTGCCAGGCGCCCTGTGAGAAGGGTTGGTTTTGTTTGGGTGATGAATGAGCAAACCTGGCTTGAGGTGACCGGGCTTGCCCAGGCCCCTGCAGCTGGCCAGTGGAGGAGCCGTCCCAGGTGCAGCGTGGCAGTCAGGGAAGGAGTGGGCATCTGGTCGCTGGGCAGGCACCTGAGTCCAACTCTTCCCCTTTCTGAGAAGCCCTGGAGGTTATGGGATCGCTTGAGCCCCTACTCCCTGCTCTGTCAGATGGGTGCTGGGATGCCCCTGGATGAGTGCAGGTGTGATGGGGATGGTATGTGCCTTGCACAGGTCTGTGCTCTGAGCATGCTGTGGCCACATTCCTGAGGATCATCAAGGCCACTTGATGGCAAAAGGAGTTAGGGTAAAGGTAGACAGCGTGGAAGACTCAGGAGGCCAGCACAGGATGCCAGGTCCTCCTGGCCCACGTTTCTGTTCCTTACTGTGTTCTCTAGCTTCATGAAGCCACTTAGTCCTTGGATAGCAGTGGAGCAACCATCCACCTAGCCACTCATTGACCCACCCACCCCACTATCCATCATCCGTCCACATACCATCCATTCACTCTTTCATCCTTTCACCTACTCACCTATCCATCCATCATCCATCTACCCACTCACCCACCCACCAATCCATCCATCCCTCCTCCCACCCATCCACCCATCTGTCCAACTACCCATCCATCCATCCATCCATCCATCCACCCACCCACCCACCCACCCACCCACCTACCCATCCACCTATCCACCCACCCACTCACTCACCCCCCATCCACCCACCAAACCATACATCTATCCATCCACCCACCCACCTACCCATCTGTCCAACTATCCATCCATCCATCCATCCACCCACCCACCTACCCACCTATCCACCCACGCACTCACCCACCCACCTATCCACCCATCCATCTAGCCACCCACATATCCACCCACCCACCCATCTGTCCAGCTACCCATCTGTCCATCCATCCATCCACCCACCCACATATCCACCCACCCACCTACCCACCCACTCATCCACCTACCAATCCATCCATCCACCCACCCACTCACCCATCCATCTGTTCAACTACCCATCCATCCATCCATCCATTCACCCACCTATCCACCCACCTACTCACCCACCCACCTATCCACCCACCAATCCATTCATCCATCCACCCACCCATCTACCCACCCACTCACCCACTCACCAATCCATTCACCCATCCACCTACCCACTCACCCATCCATCTGTTCAACTACCCATCCATCCATCCATTCACCCACCTATCTACCTATCCACCCACCCACTCACCCACCCACCTATCCACCCACCAATCCATCCATCCATCCATCCATCCATCCATCCATCCATCCATCCACCCATCCACCCACTCGCCCATCTACCCACCCATCTCTCCAACTACCCATCTGTCCATCCATCCATCCATCCACCCACCCACCCATTTATCTCCCATCCCATCTGTCCATCCAACTACCCATCCATCCATCTATTCATCCATCTACCTACCCACCCATCCATTCATCGACCCACCCACCCATCTGTCCATACACTACCCATCCCTCTATCCACTCATCTGTCCAACCACCTATCCATCTACTCATCCATCCATCTAACCATTCACACACTCATCCATCTACATAGCCATCTGTCCAACCACCTGTCCATCTACCCATCCACCCACCCACCAGCCATCTACCCACCTATCCATTCATTTATCCACCTACCCACCCACCCATTTATCCATCCACTCACCAAATCCATCACCCACCCAACTATAAATACACCCATCCATCCATTCACCTACCCCGCATGTATTCATCCACCCCCATGTATCCATCCGCCCCCTCATCCACCTGTTCACCATTCCATTTGTCGACCCACCTATCTATCCATCTATCGGTCGTCCTCCCATCTACCCTGAACCTCCCACTCCCCTGAACCTATTTATCCATCTCTCTCACTTCTTTAGGGTTTGCTGGACAGCCCCTGTGTGCTGGCCCATGCTCAATGCTGCTGCACAGAGAGGGAAAGATAGACCCGTCTGTCAAGGAGCCCCCAGGCAAGTGGGTGGGTCATCTGCCTTCGACATTCTCTGCTCTCCTGCAGTCAGGCCTTTACAGTGCTGAGGATGCTGTCCCAAACTAGACCACAAATCCTAGGGGCAGGCTCCAGGGCCTCTGTACCCAAGGAAGTAGCTCACAGCCCCTGGGACACCTGGAGAGCTTGGGGCTTGGCCTGAGAGTCAGGAGATGGAGAACTCAGATCCCTGCTCTGTCTCTGACTCTTGGGGTGACCTTGGGCTTGCCCCTAGCCCTTTCTGGGCCCAGTCATGCCTCTCTCACAGGAAGTGGATAGACCAGCTGGTTCCTCGTTCTGCAGGTGCTGCCTGGGCCTGCCCCAGCCTCGATGGGCACTCTCAGCTGCCTTCCTGTCTGCCCCGCAGCCCTGCTCCTGACGTGGCTCTGTCTTGTTTCCACAGAGCAACTTGCTGGATGTGAATCAGATCATCAAGGACTTGGCCTCCATGGCATCGGAGCAAGGAGAAGCTGTCGGTGAGTACTCGCCCAGCCTCAGGCTGCCTGCTGCCCCAAAGGCCTGCCCGCCAGCCCCCGGACCTCACCCCTTCCTTCCCCTAAGTGTGCCTGCTACTGCCAGGAGCTCTGGCTCTCAAGCCAGTGGGGCAGGGGCTCCCAACTCTGGCTGGGGGTCTCTTTTCCTCAGTTGAGGAAGAGCCAGTCTGCCCCAGGTGCCCACAGACCTTTGGTTAAAGCACTCAGCTGCCCACCAGGACCCTCAGGCCATGTCCCACCCACCCACTCTCCCTCCATGCCCTGGGCAAACTGTGGCCTCACCTTGGACCTGTGCTGAGAACAGCCTCCCGGCCCCTCCTGCTCTGATGACTGGCAGTAGGTCCAGAGACCCTCAGGCAGCTGGCTGGGTGAGACCCTCGAGAACCTCCCGAGTGCTTGCCCCTCAGTCCCCTGGGAGCCTGGGCTTCCAGCTGTTCCGTGTCCCCAGACAGTACTCCCTTACCGCCTCTTCTCCCCAGGACCCCTCCTGTCTCCTCGTCCTCCCACATTCTCCCCACTGTCAGCTTCCAGTGCTGGCTGTAGCTGTTTCTGCCCCTGGCCAGCTGTCGTGGGCTGGGATGTGCTGTGTGGAGTGGTTTGTCCACTGTAGGTACCTACCAGTCCCAGTGATGGATGGATCAGGAGGGGCACTCCTGCTGGCAGTTCAGGGAAGGGAGCAGTCATGGGGTGGGGGACAAACCAGGACTGACCCGCCACATGTGATCAGGGCCCCAGGGAGGGCAGAGGGCACTGCCAGGTGGACAGGTGGGAGGCCCAGAGAGTGGCTGAGACACTGGGGCCTTGCTGTCGTGGATGCCGGCTGCCAGTGCGGGGCGCCGACGCAAGGCCTGGCCACTGTGCCCAGAGATGGGGCCTGCGATGACCGGGACCCCAAGACTGGCAGGGCTGCTCTCCCCAAGATCTCTGCCCCCTGCTCAGCCTCTGGTGCCTTTCCAGGGTCCAGCGGCAGCCACGCTATGTGCCGTCAGAGCTGCAGCCCCGAGCCAGCCATGAACCTGCTGCCAAGTGCCGGGCCAGGCCCCACGCCCCTGCGGCCAGGCCCCCACTCCCGGACCAAGACGCGCAAGCCCAACTTCAGCCCGCAGGAGACGGAGGTGCTGGTGCAGAGGGTGAGGCGCCACTACCCACTGCTGTTCGGGGCACTGCGGGGCACGCCGGCCCGGAAGCTCCGCGTGTGGAACCGCATCCTGCAGGCGGTGAATGCGCTGGGCTACTGCCGCCGGGACCTGGTCGACCTCAAGCACAAGTGGCGGGACCTGCGGGGCGCCGTGCGCAAGAAGCTGGCGGAGGGCACCGTGCCCGGCCTCATCCTCACGCCTGTGGAGCGCGTGGTGGCGGAGACCTTTTCCACCCACAGTCCCCAAGGCCAGGGCCAGGCCATGGAGCCCCTGCCAAGTAAGTGGGCCCTCCCCACAGAGCAGGGCTGGCGAGCGGGCTGCGAGCCTCCTGCACCAGCTCCCCAGGGAGACCCAGAGGCCTGTGGAGATGGCCCGCCATCCTCCTGCCCCTCTCTTCTTTTAGGTGGGGAAACCAAGGGTCAGGGCCAGGGACGGGTCTGCCTGCCTGGGTAGTGGAAGGGCTGCAGCTCCCGCCTGGATCCCACCTCGGGGTCTGCCCAGCATTGCCAGGCATTGTGGCACCAAGGGTCTCAACTTAAGGTAGATGCCACCTTAAGCCATGCCCACCGGGTGTCCAGATGGGACGCTGGTCCCAGTTCCACATTACTGTAGTGAGTGAGCGCCACGATGGTGAGGGAGTCACAGGTGGTTGCAGGGACCGGTGCCTGGTGAGGGGTGGAGATGAGGGCAGAGCTTCCCAATGCACAGCAGCAGCAGCAGCAGCGGGTGCCACCCAGGGTGCCCTGGTGCCCTTCAAGACCCCATCTTGGCCTCTGGTGTTCCCACCGGATGTCATGTGGCCTGGCCTTTCTCTCCACACACGGCCCTCCTCTCCTGAGTGTAGTGCAGAGGTGGACACAGCTGTCCTTAGGCAGCCAGGTCTTCTATACCAGTGGGTCCCCACAGGGAGAACACTCCACTTCCCTGTGCAGGGCCGCAGGGTCTGAAGACGGGCTTTGTGGGAGGAAGGAGGGCTTCCCTCTGCTCTCCCCCAGCCCCAGAGCCCAGGGTGGGGCTGCCAGGAGAAAGCAAGGCCGGCCTGCAGGTGGGAGCAGCCTTACTCTGGATGCGCCTCCAGCCGGCTGACCTTTGCCATGGCTCCCAGGGAGCAGGAAGTGACTTGTCCTGTTCACTGGTCACTATTGAGCAGCTGTTGGCAGAGCCAGGCAGGAGTCTGGGCCCCAGCTTGGCTCTTTCCCCCCGCTAATGGTTGCGGTGGCTTCCCCCTTTGTGCTGGCCCGTCCCTCTGGGCACACAGCCTCCCAGGACACACTGTGCCCCACTCTGAGCCCACAGGCCCACTGCAGGGACCACTGGATGTCAGGTGTGTTTCTGTGCTCGGCTGGGCCTTGGCTGCGCCCGCAGCTGCCCCTGGCTCTGAGGGTGACGCTGGCTCCATGCCTCCTCCCACCACCTCCGTGCCTCCTCCCTCTGCATCTCCTGTCCTCCTCAAGACACTGCTCCAGGAGCTCTTTCGCCATCCTCCACACATGGTGGCCCACCCTTCAAAGCACAGCCCTGCTGGACTCTCACCTTCCTGGGAGCTGCTGGAAGGACTTCAGAGACGAAGCCACAGAAGCAGGACCAGCTTCGTCTTGAGGGCCACAGAGTGGACAGAAGGACTCAGCCTCATGGGACAGGCATGCCCCCACTTGTAGCCATGGCAGAATTTGGAGCCTCAGCCAGCCTCAGCTGCTCCTGCTCATGGCGGTGCACAACGCTGGGACCCATGGGGAGAGTGGGCTGGGCTGGCTTGGAGATGCGTGTCGACCCAGGGTACCACCAAGCCTGTGGCTGACCTTGGACAAGGGACCTGGGCTGTGGGCCTGGGCTATGGGTCTTGGGTGATGGGCCTAGGCACTTGGCCTCTTGATGGGCCTTAGGGATGAGCCTGGTCAGTGGGTCTTGTCATGGGGTGGGGCTGGAGGAGGACCTGGGTTCTCCTCTCAGGCCTATGCAGGCCAGAAGTGGCTGTACCCACCTCCAGGGAGGCCACACACTCCTACAGGGCAGGGCCTTGCAGCTCAGGGTTCTACAGGCAGAGGCAGGCCTGGTTTGGGGGGTACTTCAGGGCACGGGTGGACCTGCAGTGTGGGGCTTGAGAGGGAGGGGTCTGGCATGGGTGGCACTGGTGTGGCCTGGGCACTCAGCCCTTTTCTGCAAGTCCCCACCCTGGAAGCTGCCGGAACTCCGGTTTGCCCACCGTGCGGTTCCCTGCCCCCTTAGACTGAGACCCAGCCTCGACTTCTGACCCCTGATGGATCAGCCCCTCTAGGGCTGCAGGCCGCTGGGCTCACCTCCATCACAGGAGTCTTTTGGTGCCTGTGAGCTGCTCCGAGTGGCCTGGCCACTGCTGACAGCAGCTGACATTTGTTCAATTCCCGAGCGAGGGAGTGCTTGGGACAGGGTTGGACTTCCCCTTGTGGGCACTGAAGTAAGGAGCAGGGAAGTGGCCACCAGGCCTGTTGACAGGGTGGGGACCTCACTGCAGGCCCAGGTGCCCGGAGCTGTCCGTGCTGCCCGCTCTGCAACAGTGCTGCGTGGGGCTTGGGCAGAGCCAGGCCTGCAGGGCTGATCACAGCTGTGGGGCTGGGGGCAGCGATTTGACAGTGCGGGGTCTCCTGCAGAGGCCCCTGTGCCCTCAGTTTCCTTTGAGGTGTGTGTGCTGTTCTCTGAGTGTCTGGGAATGGCGATAGCAAAGGCTGTTCTCTTTGGCCCCTGGAGGCCTGGCCTAGTGCTTGGCTGTCCCTTGGATCCTGGAGCCAGGGGACTTGCAAGGGGCCCCCGTGGAGCACCCCTCGTGTCGGGAGGGCCAGGTGCCCAGGGCCCTGTGGCTCTGCAGGGCTGACCCCACAGACCGGGGTCTCCAAGACCCGCCAAAGCCATGGGCCCGGGGATGATGGCTGATGAGGTCTCAGAGTGCCTCTCAGTGCCACGGGGCCCACACACTGAACCTGGCCTCACCCCACAAGGAACGCAGGGCCATACGGCCCCAGGAGCAGCCTTCCTCCCCTCGCCCATCTCTGCTCATTGCCGTGGGGCAGGACATGGTGTGCCCACCTGGCAGCTGGGGCTCTGAGGAAGACATTGCTGGCTGCGGAGCTGAGTGATGGTTGCGTGATGTGTCTTGACTGTGGGCAGTGCCAAGCTGGTTGAGAATGCCCCTAGGACAGCCCTGGGCCTAAGGCTGGCGCATGCAGCCCGGAGCAGCAGGATGTCCGTCCCCGTCCTGAGGGTGGGCCTGCAGGTCACACGCTATGATCAGAGTCCCTGGTGTCAGGGCTCCATGTAGAGCAGGACTGGGCACTGGCTGAGTCCATGAGTGGGATGCAGGGCTGGGCTGAGGCTGCCTGTGGTCACGGGCAGAGAAGGGGTCCAGCCAGGGCAGGTGGCCTGTCCAGCGCCACCTGCGTTAGCCCAGACTGCCATGGCCTTCCTGCCCTCCTGGCACATGTTCTCTACTGTCTGCATTCACCGCTCAGTGACAGAAATGAGGCCAGGCTGTTGCTGCTGTGGATGCAAGGTGGCTTCTTTACACTTGAGAGGGGCAGTGCCCAGGCCCAGTCTGGGGCTTCCTCCCTGGCAGGCTGGTCTCTCCTGGGTGGCAGTCGTGGGGGACTCTGTCACACCTCTGGCCCCATCTTCCTTCCCTCTCCTCCACTGGCTGAGAGGGTCGTGACCCTGATGTGGCAGGGCATGGAGAGCCGTGGTCATTTGGGGGCTGTCTGCACGTGAGCCAAGGGGTGCTGTGCTCCAGGAGCAGCCCAGGCTATCGTCCATTCCCACCCTCTCCTGGACCTGGCTCCCTGTGCGGGGGTCTGGCTCCCCCCGCCTGGCTGGGGCAGGAGCCCCCAGATGCAGTGATCAGGGTGCGTCTTCGAGTGCCTGTGGCTCCAGCAGGGCCCTGGGCTGGGGATGAGGTGGGGCGGAGCTGGTGACCAAAGGTTCAAGTTTGAGGCTTTCGGGGGCTTCTGAAGGCAGAGCTCATGGGCTCCGCCTCCTGCCCAGGGGCTTGCAGAGATGGGGCCAGTTCCCTGATGAGAGAAGGGAGGCCTGCTGGGACAGTGGGGAGTGGCCCTGTCTTTCTGAGGATCCTGCCCCCTCAGAGCCAGTCCTGCCAGGCTGGAGGTGGCGCCGTGCCTGGCAGCAGTGCCTGTGGTCCTAACGGTCTCTATCCCAGGCGTCGACCCCGGAAGGCTCAGGTCAGCCCGTCCGTCCTGGGGGTTACTGCAGGTGCAGTTTCTTGAAGTGTTTCTGCCTCCCAAGCTCCTCTAGTTGCTGGAGTGGAGGCAGGCCTTCCAGGGAGCCTCCCTCTGGGAGGAAGGCATGCGCCCTGTGTTTGCATCTGGCTCTGTTGTGGACCCTGCCTGTGCCTGCACTCCTGGCGCCCGGGCGGCACGTGTCTTTCCCTTGGGCGGAAGAGGATGCTGAGCACCAGGGACCGCCCAGGTGGCGCACTGGGATTCAGGTGGAGGCTCTGGTGTGGGCAAGGCCTGCTGGGGCCAATGCTCTCACCACTCATTGCCTCAAGCCCACAACTGGCCCCAAATTCCTTGTGGGGCGAGGACAGCTTAGGCACTCGTACACGTGGTACTGCTGTTTTTGCTGCTGGTGTAGAATCTTCCAGATCCCTGGGGCTGCCCTGGTGGTTCTCGTGGGCCCTGCTGATGTGGCCTCCCCGGGTGACACTGCCGCAGCCACTGAGACTGGCTTTGCCCAGGCACCAGCTCCCGTGAGCCCCTCATGGTGGCAAGACTTGCTGGTGAGCTCCCTGTGCCAAGGGGGCCAGCACGTGTGGCCAGCCAGAGCCCTGTGTGTGCAGACCTGGCCTCCATCAGCCCCATTGCAACTCCACAGACATTCAGGCTGGGGCTGTGCCCCTTCAGAGGGGGCCGTGCCACAGAGTGGAGGGGCTAGCTCAGGCAGCGTCATGACAGAGCGGGACTTGACCCCAGCCCTGACCTCCCCCTGTCACTCCCACCCTTTTCCGAGTGAGTGTTTCCTGCCTCACCAGTGTGGGCACTGAGGAGTCTCCTTCCTGGGCCACCTCCAAGTCTCCGTTCTAATGCCATTGCCCACTGCCCACCCCAGGCGGAGCCGTCAGGGTGCCTCCAGCAGCCCCGCCCATCCCTGCAGCCTCGCTCCTCTGGAGGCCCTGGGCTCAGGCTCTGTTGGGCTTGTCTTTGACTGTGTCCTCGGCACGTGGGTGGCTGGGCCTCCATCTGTGGTCGCCTTTTGTTGTCTTGATTTGCAGATAGTATTGAATCCAGCCTTGAGGCTGTGTCCTTGCAGCCTGCCAGCTCCTGGCTGGAGCCAGCCGGCCCCAAGTAAGTTTGTGACAGGGCTGAGAGGGCCCTCCGTCCCCTGTCCTCTAGGCCTCCCTGCATCTGTGAGGGGGGCCCAGGCCCTGCCCTGTGCCCAGGAGGGGTCTGCCTACAGGCCTCCCAGAACCAGCCTGCTGCTCAGGCCCTGGGGGCTCTGGGAGTCATGGGTCCACGGCCACAGGGGTCTGTGTGGTACCCGTGGTGGTCAGCACCATCTCCTCTCGTCTCCACTGCGCCGCCCTCTCCCGTGGATCCCGGCGTAGTAGGGGAGGGTCCTTGGGGCCTTCCTGCTCCACCTCCCATGCCAGCTGCTGGCATATGGCATGGTGTCCTTCCTGGGTCTGGGGACTATGGAGGGGACTTTGTGATTGGGGCAGGTCAGTGGCTCAGAGGGAACAAGAAGAAGCTCAGGCCTTTGTTTTCTTGAAATGGGACTTGGAGCCGTCTTGAGGACCAGCCACTCACTGGGCCTTGTTGCTGACTTGTGGTCACCCCAGGAGGACCTGACAGGTCAGGCTGGCTGGGGAACACGGCCCAGCTGGGATGGAGGCCTGGCCACCGTCTTTCCCTCACTGTCTCTGTTCACACTATGGCCGGGTGCTCCTAGCTAGCCCTGACAGGCAGAGGTGACCATGCAGAGCCTGTTAAGGAGTAACCAGGAGCCAGGCAGGCTGGACGTTCAGTAAGGTGAGGGTGGCATGGGCCACTGTGGGAACGCAGAAGAGGCCCCTGGGCCATCAGGCTGGGACAGCGCATGCTCTTGACAGGAGCAGGGGCAGTGCTGGCAGATGTGATGGTGCGCTAAGTGTGAGGTCGGGGTTTGGGAGCAGCCAGGTCAGCAGGTGCGACGAGGTGGGAGCCATGTCCTGGGAAATCATGGCTGTGACTGCAGAGCATCCTCGGCTGCTTCACAGGTGTGAGAGGAAGGGGGGCCGCAGCCAGAACCATGCAGGGACACGAGTGGGTAGAGATGCGGGGGAAAGGCCAGAGCCGCCTTGAGTTCCCATTGGAGGCCCAATGCAGGCACCCCTACCGGGGGAGTGTGTGGTAATGGGGAGGTTGAGCCCCTCCCCATTTCTCTGTCAGGGGCCATTAGCTTCAGAAGGTCGGGGTCACTGAGGGTCCGCCCCTGGTGACAGCTAGTGAAAGCCAGGCTGGGAGACCTGGGAGAGGCTGTGCCAAGGTCATCCACAGGATCAGGGCAGAGGCAGGGCTGGGGCTGGGTCTCCTGGCACCAGCTCCGGGCTCTTTGGCCTCAGCCCCCAGCCTGCCATCTCCTAGCTGCTGAGGGCAGCTAGGCCCAGGGTCCTTCAGGAAGAGGAAGGTGTAGGCTCTGGTGATGGGCAGCAGACTCGCCAGAAACTCAGGGCCACAGCACGCAGAGGACCTCATCCCAAGAGGAAGGCAGCCAGCTGGCAAGATGACCCCTCCCGAGCACCCTGGGACCACCTGGTCAGAAGCAGCACCCATGCCTGGGACGGCAGGAGGATGATGGGACAGTGAGGAAGAGGAGGAGGAGGAAGAGGAGAAGGAGGAAGAGGAGGAGGAAAGGAGGGTGGTGGCAACTGGGCCAGCCACCTGTGCAACGGACACCCTGCCACGTTCCCAGTGAGCCTGTGGGCTCAGTCCCCCCAGAGCAGGCACCGCCCACACTGCAGAGGAGATGGGCAGGGCTTGGGCCCAGGAGGCGGAGGTGGAGTCACCTCTGCATAGACCATCCTGCTCCTGCCCTCGAGGAGCCTCCCCATGGAATGTCAGGGAGGACCATGTGTTGCCCCATCCTTCACACCCAGGGACTTGGAAGGGTCAGAGATCCCAAACTTAGAGACTGAAGTCTAAGACGGACGGGTGGTCTTTGATATGCAGCCTGGAATCTGAGGCCTGTGGAAGAGAAGGTGTTTTCTAGGGTCACACAGCTGTTGAGACCAAGCAGAGCTGGCCTTGGAGCCCACGTCTGCTGAGTCGCAGATTCAGGTCTCCCTGTTGCCCTAGGGAAGCTTAAGCCTTTCGCCTTCCTGGGGACATTCACTTGGGTGGATGGGTGCCTGCTGGACAAAGGGATGGCCAGATGGATAACTGGAAGGATGGATGCATGCGTGAGTGGATGGAAGGAGGAGGTGTAGATGGGCGGGTGGCTGGGTGGATGGAAGGATGAGGTGTAGACGGACGGGTGGCTGGGTGGATGGAAGGAGGAAGGTGTAGATGGATGGGTGGCTGGGTGGCTGGGTGGCTGGAAGGATGAGATGTAGACAGGTGGGTGGCTGGGTGGATGGAAGGATGAGGTGTAGATGGACGGGTGGCTGGGTGGATGGAAGGATGAGGTGTAGATGGACGGGTGGCTGGGTGGATGGAAGGAAAGTATAGACAGATGGGTGGCTGGGTGGATGGAAGGATGAGGTGTAGGCGGACGGGTGGCTGGGTGGATGGAAGGATGAGGTGTAGATGGACGGGTGGCTGGGTGGATGGAAGGATGAGGTGTAGGCGGACGGGTGGATGGGTGGATGGAAGGATGAGGTGTAGACGGACGGGTGGCTGGGTGGATGGAAGGATGAGATGTAGATGGACGGGTGGATGGGTGGGTGGAAGGAGGAAGGTGTAGACAGACGGGTGGCTGGGTGGATGGAAGGATGAGGTGTAGACGGACGGGTGGATGGGTGGATGGAAGGAGGAAGGTGTAGACGGACAGCTGGCTGGGTGGATAGAAGGATGAGGTGTAGATGGACGGGTGGCTGGGTGGATGGAAGGATGAGGTGTAGACGGACGGGATGGAAGGATGAGGTGTAGATGGACGGGTGACTGGGTAGATGGAAGGAGGAAGGTGTAGACGGGCGGGTGGCTGGGTGGATGGAAGGATGAGGTGTAGACCAACAGGTAGACAGAGACTGCATGGATAAATGGGTGAATAGTCTGATGGATGAATGAACAGAAGGAAGGGAAGGAGGATGGAAGGGGTATGGCTGGCCAGTGGTGAACACATAGATGGACAGATAGATGAGTGGATGAAGGGGTATGTGTGTGTGGAGGAATAAACATGTGGGTGGCAGATGGCAGGCAGACCTGCGGGCAGCTGGCTGACCACAGGGCAGTCGGAGGATGAACACAGGTAGTGTCGTGGTAGCTGGGGATGCAGGCTGCACTTGGACAGGCCATGGCTTCCATCCCAGCATCACTAGAGTAAATGTGCCCATCTGTGGGTCTTTTTCCTCATCTCTCAAATGGGTGCAGCTCCCACTGCAGAGGGCCATCGTGAGACCCAAACAACCCCAGGTTCAGAGGCCTCCATGGACACTCTCCCTGTGCCTCCCTCACGTCCTGGATCACTGGGTCTTGGATGTGCAGGCTGACCTTTTCCTCTTTCCCTCTGTTAGCTGACGAGGACGAGGCCCCCAGCTGCTTGTGGCTTCCCCTGCGGAGCCCAGAAGGGCCCAGCCCGCCTGAACCTGACCCCCTGGACTTACGAGGAGTCTTCCGCACACCCTCATCACCCTCTCCACCCACTTCCCCAGCCTCCACCCCACAAGCAGCCACATTCGCAGGGTCCTTCCAGCCCTCCCCACCCTCCTCAGCACCAGCACCACCCCAGTCCTCCGGGAGGACCCCAGGGGCAGCACCTGAACCTTCGGTGTTTGAGCAGCGGCTGCTGGACTCCCAGCGGCGGCAGGGCGCCCTGCTCTCCTCCTGGGCCCAGCAGCAGAGCGCGCTCATGGCCCAGCAGAGCCTGCTACTGCAGCAGCTGGCTGAACAGAGCCAGCGTCTGGCTGACGGCGTGGAGGCCCTCCACCGGACCCTCGAGAGGCTGGTGGGAGTGTGCCCCACCCGGGAAGCCTCACCATCACTCCGGGATGGCGGCCCGGCCGGTGGAGTGGCCCACGGACCTGCCAGAGACGCCCAGTTCAGCCCCCAGGGTGCCCACGCGGGGCTCGAGGTCTTCTCAGGGATGATCCTGAAGGTGGAGGAGGAAATATAGGGCTGGTCAGGGGTGCCAGCAGAGCCAGAGGGCGGGGGCAGGGCCTCCAGTCTTTCCCCTGCTGAGGCCTTGCAGGGGAGAGATGGCAGTGATTGGATCTCCAGGGCACTGGGATGGCTTGAGTCCAGGAGATGGGAAGGACGAGAGGACATGGACTGTGTACCTGTGGTGCCACAGCCTTGGCATTGCCTGTGGAGCGTGGTGACCTGCGGGGAAGGGCTGCAGAGAGCCGACCTGTGGGGCCCAGCAGGCCAGGTCTACTCAGGGCCAGTGCTTTGGAGGCTCCACCCCGTGTGGCAGTGGCTGTGAACTCTGCAGCCCAGCATCCCTGCAGGCAGCCAGTGGCAAAGGCTGGGAAGATGCACTTAGGGACCCCTAGGCACTGGAGCTCTGGAAAAGGGGCTCGGCCAAGCCCTAAGGTCCCGAGTGTGACTGGCTTGACTCCCAAAGGTCCCTGTTTCCTTTATGGGCGTGTACACTTGGAGGGCGGGGCTCCTACGCCCTACCTGCTTCTGACCCAGGGGAACCACAGCTCGTGAGCTTGGAATAATTTCTCTCCAATTATATATATATATGCCATATATTATTTGGTACTGTATGGGGCTGGAATGACATTTTGTACCTGCAAATTTTTCTTGCAAAATATTTTTTTACATAAGCATAAAATAACAAAGCAGGTGGCAGTGCAGCTGCTGACAAGCACGTGAGCTGGAGCCTGCTCCTCAGGCCTGGGGGCCGCTGCTTTCAGCCTCCCTGCAGGGGCCCAAGCATTTCCTGCATCTTCAGACCCTTCTTCTTCCATAACCTCCTCTGACTCTTGGGAGATCCCTTGGCGGGGCTGCCCCATCTCCAGTCCCTGCATAGCAGGGCACAGTATGCAGTCCCCCAGCCTGGGCAGCTGTTGGGAGCAGCAGGAGCGGGAGGTGGGGCCAGCCTGGGCCTTGACTGGTCTGGGGCCTCCAGCCTCTTCCTCTGCTGGCCTCTGCCTGGCTCCCGTGGCCCAAAGCCTGTCCCAGGAGCAAGATGCTGACAGGCTGGCCTGAGCGGGAGGCATGCTGGTCTGGGGAAGCTCCAGCACAGCCAAGAGTCAAGACCGCAGCGTCCCTGAGAGCAGGGAGAGGGGCCTTTTCCTGGTTTTGTGTTTTCCTCTGGGGCCAGCAATGTGCCAGTAACTTTTGTCTATGGAAGAACCCAAGGCATAGCCACACGTGCAGCTGCCTTCTGCCACGCCTGGCCTCCCTTCAGGCTTCTGACTCTGTGGGTGCACAGCTGCTGCTGTTGGTTCTTGAACTCCTGACCTCAGGTGATCCACCCACCTCGGCCTCCCAAAGTGCTAGGATTACAGGCGTGAGCCACCGCACCCGGCCTTGCTGTTGGTTCTTAGTGGAGCCTCCATTCTGATGGTTCCACCTTAGGAAAGCCGGCCTTCCATCCTGCAAAACCAGGTGACCTCAGTGCCACCACCTCCAAGAAGCCTCTGTAGATCTTCATTCTGGGTTCTTGTCCACTGAAAATACCTGCCATAGGCCAGGCACAGTGGCTCATGCCTGTAATCACAGCACTTTGAGAGGTTGAGGCAGGAAGAAGGCTTGAGGCCAGGAGTTTTAGACCAGCCTGGGCAACACAGCAAAACCTCATCTCTTACAAAAATAAAGCTCAATAAATGAAGATACCCAGCACGGCTGACAGTGGTCTTGTATGACCGTGTGTGTTTTCTGTCTTGTTAGAGTCTTACCCTGGACACAGCCTCTACTCTGGTTTTAGCTGAGCCCTGGTCCTGGTCATATACTGTCGGAAACTGATGCTCCGTGCCACACAGAAAAATCAGCACTGAGACGAAGAATGTCTTAGCAAGCAGTGTTTACTTCTGGACCACAGGAAGGGGACCCTCGTTGGCCATCCTGCCACGAGAGTACAACGAACAAAGGGAAAACAGGCAAATTTAATCCTCACGCATTTGGGGTCATCCTTACTGCCGTGTCTGATCTCCATTGGCCGGAGCCAGACCTCACAATCTAAACTAAAACCTGATTGACTAACAACTTAAAGCTTTTCTGAACAGGTAAAAGCAATGGCGAGCTGGGACCTGCCTGTGAGCACGTCCGGCACAGATATCCTGGTTAAAGCACAAGGACGTAGAGTGTACTACGTGCCTGTAAGCGTGGCCTGTCTATCAGCTACATAGGATAGGGCTTCACAAAGAGTTACTAGCTCACTTATGATTTATTCTTTAACAAGAAAGGAACTTTAAAGAGGAACTTTTCTGCTTTCCACATATGCTGAACCCCAATCCTCACCCGACACTGTCCTAACCGCAGTTGCACCTTGAGCCCTGAGCCTGGTCCTGCACTATGTCCTGACCCTGTTACACATTGAGCATTGATCCTTGTGACAGACCTGGCCCTGATTCTGATCATACACTGAGCCTGGTCCTAGTTACACACTAAGCTGTGGCCCCAGCCCTGGCCCTGGTCAGTCCAGGCATCTTCTGGGAGTATCCTCTGGGCTGAGCCCTTACTAAATGCTGAGGATACAGAAGCAACTAAGGCAGACTGGGGGCCTCTCCTACCAGAGTTTAGCATGTGCTGCAGAAAACACATACTAAGCAAGTCAATACAATTTATTTTGTGTAACAGTTAAAAATCGGTATAACTGCATTTGGTAGGAAACGGAATTGTGTGTCTTAGAGCAGATGGGCATCACGGTTCCTTCATCACTGACGTCAATGACCTGGAGTTGGCAAGGCAGGGCCACAGTCCTCAGAGGTCCAGGCATCGTTCTGCTCCCTTCACTGCCATGGTCCTCATGGCCCAGGACAGCTGCAGGACTCCCCCCATAACACTGTGTTCCAGGTAGTCGGGTGTGGGGAAGGACGGCTGCAGGACTCCCCCCATAACACTGTGTTCCAGGTAGTCGGGTGTGGGGAAGGACGGCTGCAGGACTCCCCCCATAACACTGTTTCAGGTAGTCGGGTGTGGGGAAGGACGGCTGCAGGACTCCCCCCATAACACTGTTCCAGGTAGTCGGGTGTGGGGAAGGACAACTGTAGGACTCCCCCCATAACACTGTTCCAGGTAGTCGGGTGTGGGGAAGGACGGCTGCAGGACTCCCCCCATAACACTGTTTCAGGTAGTCGGGTGTGGGGAAGGACGGCTGCAGGACTCCCCCCATAACACTGTTCCAGGTAGTCGGGTGTGGGGAAGGACGGCTGCAGGACTCCCCCCATAACACTGTTTCAGGTAGTCGGGTGTGGGGAAGGACGGCTGCAGGACTCCTCCCATAACACTGTTCCAGGTAGTCGGGTGTGGGGAAGGACGGCTGCAGGATTCTCCCATCACACTCTTCTTGAAGGAGATCTCTGCCTGCATCTCAGCCCATTGACTGGGAGTTACTCGGATGCCCACATTTAGTTGCAATAGAAGCTGGAAAACAGCTTTAGCCCCAAATGGGGGTTTTGTTACCAAAACAGAGGGGCTGGATGCTGGGGTAGGCAGCTGGCAGTCTGCCAAGCTGGGGCGTTGACAGGGCTGGGACATCACAGTCTAGAGTGTTGCAGGCCTCCCTGCAGGAGGGACAGCAGAGGCCTCCAAGGCAATGTGGCAGTAATCACTGCAGCCAGCGAGGGGCAGGAAGAGCCAGAAGGACCCCAGGCAGAGAGGACCAAGGGCCCATCGGGGGAGCACTGACTCCACCTCTGCTTTGTGGCTGAGGAGCAGGGACTCAGAGCTTAGGGTCCGAATGGGCAAGTCCTGGTCCGTCTCTCACAGTACATGCCCTGCATTTGCGCTGTAGGCCTATTTGCCGAAAGGTGGTCAGATGCCAAGAGGCCAGGCAGGAGCATGGCCAGGACAGCAGGGAGGCATCATGGAGTGAGGCTCCGTCATCCAGTGAGTGCATGGAATGGCAGGCGGCACACAGGGAGGGCAGAGGCCGTGCCTGGCGTCATGTTGTGCTTGGTGAAAAGGCCAGTCTCAAAAAGGCCATGCTTTGTGACTCCATTTCTGTAACATGTCAAAGGCTGCAGGAGAGCCTTGTGGTGATGAGACAGTTTTGTATCTGGAACGTGGTGCTGGTGACATGAATCTACATACGTGATAAAATTTCATGGAACTATACACATAAATACCAAGTAGAAAGTAAGGAAGAAACTTAAGGCTAAGGTAACCTAAAAGAAGAGTATTAGAGCACATAACTTCCAAACCGGTAAAAATGGAATCAGAATACAATTAAACAACAAACTATGTTGAATGAAAAGGAGAAGGGGGAAGAAACGCAATAAAGAGAAAAGCAGACGCAAATAATACAGAAGAAAAATTCAGGGCAGGTCGAGAGCAGAAAGAAGCATTTGGAACTGTCCAGTGAGCAAAATAAATGCAGACAGATTAAAGGAGCTCA